GCACAACAGTGTGAATTCCTCAGGGAGGTGCCAGCCTCATCCTCTTGTAGCTCCCACGCTTCTCCAGTGAGGTAAGAAAATGTTTATCTCCCTGAGCCTGGCCTTCATAATTCCATTCCATCACAGAAAGTCCCCCACAGCTACTGGGCACATTGTGCTGGTTAACAAGGTCACTTTCTCCTTTCTAGGTCTGCTTTGAGAGGCTGCGCTGCCGATCCAGGCCTGAAGAGAAAGAGGTCCGGCTGCCTTACCTGGAGCAGCTTCATGTCCAGCATGAAAACTGGCTTGCGAAGAAGACCACCATGTGAGTCACGGCAGTGGCTGTTCTCTGCCGTCCCTGACATGGCCATGAGCAAGCCAGCTCAGCTGCAGTGCCTGTTATCTGGGAAGGATGTCAGGGGTAGGAAAGGGGAGGGGGGGTGAGGGTCGTAGGGAGAGGATTAGCAGTTGGGGCAGGGGAGGAAGGTTGGAGGAGAAGGACCAAGGCAAGGAAAGACAGGCAGTGACAGGAGAGGTGAAAAAGAAGGGAATATGTGAAAAGAGGCTGGAGGTCCCTGACGGCAGGATCTTGAGGGCCACCAAAGCTCTGCCTTATGCCAGCTGCCAAGGGAGAGGCTTTTCCACCAGATCCAAGAGACTGGGCAGGGAAGCCAGAGACTAGGTCTGTGTGTCCAGCTAAGCCATGGGGTGGGCACAGTATTCTTATGGCCAAGAGTTGCACTTTACACCCAGAAGTGTGATCACATCACAGGTGAACAGGAATTGGCACAGAACATGAGCAGGGACCAACTGACACTTGGTAATCCACGCTGGGACATCAGTTAAATCAAAAGGATTTTCATAGATGGGGTATATTTTTTTTCTCACATAGGATCCATTCTGGAAGTTTAAGAGATGTACCTGTCTTGATTCTGGATGTCACAAAGGATTTTGAGAATGACCCGAATGAACAACGCAAGCTTGTAGGCCAGGTAAGGCTATCCTAATATTGATTACTTCTACGAAAAAAGAATTGGTAGCGTATGAAAAAGGGACTAATTCATTGGTTTTTATTGTTACACTTTATTCCCTAAACAAACAGAGCAGTGGCCAGCCAAACACCTTGAACAGAGTTAGGTGATCTGCTAAGTGTGCTTTAGAGCTTGCTGTCCCCATGCCAGACGTGGCAGATAATTAAAAAAAAAAAAAAAGAACCCTGCAGTTGATTTTCAGAACTGGCCACCTTTTATAGTGAGTGGGCAACTCTCTCTCCTCTCAGTGCGCTTATTTCATCCCCAACATGGATGAAAAAAATTGGGAGCAGCAGAGATGTTGCTGTTGGAAAGCCCCCATTTTGAAACTGTTCCTCCTTCCCACCTGGGTGTCCAGAGGCCATTAATGCCCCCATTCTGTGTTTCATATGAACAGAGAAAAGAAGTAATCGCGCTACAAACCATGGCTAAGGTTCTGCCTCTTATCCCCAGTGTAAGCCATGGCCTGGGTTTGTATGTCACTGCAGGCCTTATGAACCAGAGGGGTATGCAAACCTGCCAAATTATGGTTTCTCTTGGTCCTTTTTAAAGGGTCTTTCCCTTTCTCACAGGTGAAAACTTTTATGAAAACTCTTTGTTCTGATCCTTTGCCTTCCGTCTCTACAACTGTCTCCAACTGAGGATCATCTCATTCTGCAACTAGCAGCTGCTTGTTTAATGCCAAGAGACCAAATGGGAACCAGTTTGCCTCTTTACACCCAGGCAAATAAAAACCTCCAGGCAGGTCAGAGATCCTGGCAAGGGGCTGGCCCTAGGGGGCTTCCACCCAATGTTAGCAAGAAGAAGCCTGCTGGAGCCAGCCTACATCCGAAGGTGGGGGACAGTCTCTGGGCCAAGCAGAGGCTTCACCCCCTCCCTCTCTGGCAGGAGAGATTGGCACTGTCTTTGATGGACGAACCCTGGCATAGCTACCTGAGGAGCTGCCCCAAGAGCGTGGTGTCCTCATGGCCCCTGCCTCCTTTCGACTGTCCCAGGAAGGGTCAGAGACTGATGAGCACCAAGTTTCAAGACCAGCTGAGGATCACAGTTCACAGCGTGAAGAAGTTGCAGCATAAACTAGGAGCCTTTCCCACCGTTCAGCATGTGGGCTGTTTTCTGTTGGAGCTGAGGGACACCCGTCACTTGGCACTGAGTCACACCCACTCTCATCTCGAATTGTCTAATGGCCATAGGGGTCCTGGCATGACGCAACCCAGCACATTTCCTAGTCTGCCTGGCCAAGTGCTTTTGCCACCCCTGTGCAGATGGGCTCTTTGTGGGACTTGCTTAGTCAGTGGCAGCACCACCACATGTTGTGTCAACCTGGAAACCCGACAATTCCAGAATAGGAGCAGGACCGTTACACCTCCATTCCCTGGCCCATGGTTATCCACTAGATACTTAACCTGCTTTGCTGTTCTCCAGACCCTAAAGAGCAGCATAATAAGGACGTTATCTTGATTTTTTGTCTCTGTGTGCTAGAAACAACAGCCACAGAAGCTATGTCAGCCACACATATTCACAAGGATAGTAACTCAGCCCTGGAGGGACGTGTGTAAGCTGGCATGTCAGTGTTGTGCCGATTGGTGCAATTTAAACTTTTTCCTTAAGGGAAAGATAAGCAGAGAGGTTTTACAGACTTTCTCTCAGTTTAAATTAATGACATTTGTCTTTTGAAGGATTATGTCTGTTTTATTGGTGAAAAAGGTCAGCGAACCTGAACAGTGGAGCTGCCTTTGGGGCTGATTTTCATTTGGTGGGCTGTGGGGAGGATGAGAGAATGCCAGCTGTTCTGTCTTGGAATTGCCTCTTTTTTCAGTTTCTCTGACTTTGTCAGCTGCTATAAGTCTGCAGCACAATCTGGCTCGTGTCTGTTAACTCTGCTGAATTCATTGTAGCTTACTCCCAGGTAAGTGGGTATACAACTGTAGCTTATTGGTTATGCTAAAAACACAACTCCCCTTTCTTTGTTTAAAAACAAAGGCAGTGACTATGTTGACAACACAGTTGTTATTGCTCAGCATATATGAAAGTGATTGCAACAAATGCTGCTGGGCGGCAGATCATCCTAGACAGATCCAGAAACTTCCCTTCCCCCCCGAACTCTCTCCTCTGCAGCTCTTTTTGTTCAGGGGCCGTTGCTCATTGGGCTTTTCTGTGTTCATCCTCTGACTGTTGGCATCCTTTTGTTCAAGCTAATGCTGTCAGTCCAAACATTTTGTCATGTCTGATGCATATGTGCAGGAGAAGGGCTGTCTCAGGCTGCTGCTCTTGTGGTTACTTAAAGGCACAATGATCTATTTCCAAAGGATCGATTCTTCTCCTGCCCCTGATGCTGCTGGGCCCAATCCTGTCCTCCTCCCCGCTTCCCCTCAAGTACCTCTTCTTCCAAGTCTTGAATGCTTTTTAAGTGCAAGTGTGGCTCCTCGCTTCCCTATCCTGTGGCTTCAGCAAAATGGACAGGTCTTTTGCTCGATAGCAGGTGGAACCTCCACTTGAATAAAAGCAGTCTGGAGAAGTGGTGGCCTGCCGAGAGGGGCTGGCTCAGGCGGACTGTTTGGAGAGGCAGGAGACGGTGATCAGAGAAAACATTTGCAAGTATGTTTTCTGGATCAGGGTTTGTGAACTCACATTGATTTATTGCTTTGTTAGAAGTTAGCATGTTCCTTTGAGACTACTCAGAAGTCAGTCGTAGCAGGGTCTTCCCTCTCCTGCTCTGTCATATTGACAACCTGTAGGTTTTCTCTTCGTAGGCCATTACAACATCTTGCTCTTTATTAGGAGAGGTAACTGGGCAGATATTTTCCCTGTGTTCCCTGCCAAAATGCTACGTCTGCTGAAGTTCTTTTTGACTCTTGCTCTTGAGCTTCAGCAGTTGCTTTCTGATCTGATCTATTTCCTGGGGTTTAGTTCCACTGTGTTTTTCTCTAGATTTGCTGCCAAACTTTGGTTAGGACCCTTACAGATTCTTCTGTTGCTCGCCACATTTCTGTAAATACTGTTATCAGTTCCTGTAGTTTTTTGACTTGGTAACAACCAGAGTACTGTTCTAACTTCATCTTCCACTACTAGAGGTTCTTGTAATTAGACTCCATTTTTTAATCCGTCTGTATCATTCTGCTGGCATGCCAATCTGAGGTTGGAACCTCCTCCTGAGTTTGGGGATCTTTTGGAAGACTGTTTCCATCTGAAGTGTCTCTGCAGATGTCATTGCAGTACCACTTTTTGTCTCTTCTGACAGCTCTCTGAAATTTTTCATTAAGTTTGTCCTGAGATCTTTGCCTTTCTTGGCTTCTCTTCTCTTCTCAGCAACTTCCACTGTTTATTCTGACATTCAGTTTGCTTCTGCTTTTTGGTCTTTGTCAGTCTCTTTTCACATTCATTCTTAGCAACTTAAATTTCATTCCACAGTTCCTCTGGTTTCCTATCAGTGAGGTTCAGGACTTCAAAGCAGTTTCTGATGTCCTCCATGAAAATGGTGGATATATGTTCAGGATCACATTTGAAAACATGAGTTGAAAACAGAGTTTGGCTTGTTCTTCTACTTCAGGTTGATGTGGAACTTGTACATGAGCGGTTCATGATCCCACAGTCAGCCCATGGGCAGGTCTTTGCTGTTACAACTGAGCTCTTCCACCTCCTTGTACCAATAATATAGTCAGTTTGATTTCTGTGGGCTCTGTCTGATGATGTCTAGGTACGTAGGCATCATTTTGGTTGTTTGAAGAGTGTGATAGCAATGAAAAAACCCCTGGCAGAATGATTGGCAGAAACTGTTGTTACCTTGCTTTATTTCTTTTTCCTCAGCTATACAGTCCAACTACCTTTTCCTCCTTACTAATTCCAACTTTGGCATTCCAGTCTCCAACCAGCTCTTGCCTTCATGTTCTGTTGCTTTCAGATTGAACTTGACCATAACTCATGTCAACCTCCTCTTCTGCCTCAGCGGCTGGAGCAGAAACGTAGATAATCATCATGTTAAAGGGTTATTCGTAAAGTCCAACTGATATTCAGTCACTGATTGCATTATACCCAAGTACTGCCTGCCTTTTCTAGGCAGTACTCCTGACTATGAAAGCGGTGCTGTTTCTTCTGTTTTTCATGTCCTAGATAATAAATGGTAAATAAACAACATGAATTTCTGACTGAAAGTGTCCAGTTCGCTGCCGCCTAAGATGTCAGTGTGTAGTCAGTTCACTTCACGCTGAGCTTTCCCGTAGTTGTGTTTCTTACGCACCATGTTCCCACTGTAATCTGCCTCTGCAGCTTTGGGGTTTTTTTCCTGGGAGGCAAAACACGTCTAGCCGCATCATAAACGCCAGAAGTACCAATAGAGAACGACACACGAAGCTCAGGGTGGAACTGTGGAGTCCTTGGTGCTCTCTGCTCTTACTGTGCCTCCCTCAGCTCCGCTGGAGGGAAGATGCCACAAACGCCCCCCTGCAGCCTGCTGTGGAGGGCCGGGCCGGGCCGGGCAGTAGAGGGGACCTTGCGGTGCCGTTATTTCACCGGGCCACTCGGTCAGTCCACCTTCGCTTGTTTTTCCTCGTGACAGCAGCTCATGCATGGCCAGGTTTTGTGCAGCAGCGTGTAAGATTTGCAGGGCAGTAACTTCCCTGTTGGTATAGAGGTATTAAACTCTGTTTGCATAGCTGCTGTGCTGTTAAAACATTCTTTTTTGATTGTGTAGCAGTCACATATTTCAACTTTTTTATTTGAGAATTTTCTTTTTCCCTAATACTCTTACATTGGAAATGTTACTATGCTGCTGTTACTCTCTTAAGCTTGTCAGAGATCAAATACAGCACGGGCCATGCTTGCCCAAGATACTGAACCTGGTTAAATGAACCAGAATACTCTCATTTTTCTGAGTTCACAGACATGGCAACAAAAGAAGGCTGGAGATGCAGGAGCAGAGATGCCTGCCTCAGGGGAATTCAAGTATTTTTAATTTTTAGAAAGGGCATGCAAATCAGCTCCCCAAAAATTAATTGTTTAGGAGTCCTCGTTTAGCAACTGCAGTTTGTTCCGGTGAAATGGTTGCTAAGCGAACTGCGTGATAGACTGAAGATTGCTGGTTGCTGCCATTTCGTTTGGTTAAGTGAACACCAGTATTACTCTCACTGGTATGTGTTGTTAGGCACAGAAATTTGGGCATAAGTGTGTGCATTGGTCAGAATTTTTTTTTTTTTTTACTACCATTTATTACCATCTGCAAACAGTCTTTGTGAGGTCACTAAATGAGGACTACTTGTATGGCCCCCAAACTAGAGGGCCCCATCTGGGCAACTCGTGTGAACCCAGAACGTGACTGCATAAACCACTGCCAGTTAGCCATAGGTAAGCATGCAAAGGCAACAAAGAAGGCAGTTCTTCCCTGTCTCAGGTTGTGATACAGTTAACTGAGTGTACACAATGTGCTAAGCCCCAAACTATGGTTTATAAACCAATATACTAGAATGGTTGTGTTCAGAAGTCATAAATTTGAACTTATGAACCCACCTGAATGGATTAGTGAAAGAAACCTATTTAGTCAGTCTGTGTGCACTTCAAAAACGTTGCGGATCAAATACTTTGGGCCTTGTGTGAGCACTTCTCCCCTCGGTGTGGTGGGGATGGTGGGAGAAGCTAGGCTTTCCCAGGGCAGGAAAGCTGATTATGCCAAGGACCAGCTGCCACTTGGCATTGAGGCTGGGACATGCAAGGCAGAAGAGCTGTTAGGCTGTGGAAGTGCCAGATCTAGTCTCCCAACAGGTCTAAGAAGGGACGTTATCTTCAAGTGACCAGCTTTAGGTGGCTTCATTTTAGGACACCATACATGTTATGCCAGTTATGCCAGGTGAATTTCTGCGGAACTTCTGCTGAGTGCCATTCAGCTATGGGAGCAAACCAGACATCTAGTCATTAAAGTAGCCCATCTTTTTTTCAGGCATCTGCATCAACCTGAAAAAAGGTGGTGGTGGTCAAGAGTACTGTGAAGTTTGCTGAGGCACTTTCAAATTGTTTCTGAAGCTGCGCAGCTCTCCTAGGGGGAGACAGGTGGAGAGAAAAGCAGCAATTCCCCATTAGAAGCAGCATTACTTAAGTATCTCAGACACGCACGCACCGAGAGGAAGACGCCTGGAGAATATACAGAAGTCTGCACTCTGCACCTCAGGGGCAATTCCTCTTGCCCGCTCTGCTTCATGTCCAGCCGAACTGAGCCTTGTTATGCGGCAAAGATGAACAAGGCGAGGAGGCCAGAGAGGGCAACTTACTGCCAGGTCCCAAGGTGAAGCCCGAAACCAGGATCTTGCTCAGCTTCAGAAACAATTTGTAAAAGGTGCTCTGGAGCATGTGGGCGTGCGAATAGGCCCCTCGGCAACCTGCTCAGGGGCACCTGGTGGAAAACTGATGGCAAAAGCGCATCTTGCAGCTTCAGGATGCCACACAGCCTTTTGCACTCAGATCCTGGGGTTGGACCCCGGAACGTGACCCACGTGGCTTGAGTCACAATGCACGTCCCACGGCTCCATCCTCTCCCAGGGTCCCATGGCCACCATCTGCAGACTGTCGCCACAGGTGCTGTGTTTGCACTTTGGGGAAATGGGATCTGCTGCCCAGGTAGCCTGAGAGCTGTGATCCGGTACCATCCTTGAGGCCAGATGTAACTTGACCTTTTTGCGCCAAGCCGGACCAGGAGCACCTCCCAAAGACTCTGGAGGAAGTTGCCATGCCGAGGAGCACGAGGAACCCCAAGTGCAGCGGTCCTCTTCAGAAACAAGCTGCGGACTGACCCCGGGCCGGTTTCTGCAGCGATGGACAGCAGCGATTGAGCAAAGGCGCTTCCGCACCAGCGTTCTGCGGATCACCCGACCCGGGCGGAGAAGCTGCCACGGGGTCACTCTGGCTCTTGCAGCCGCAGGTGCCCGCAGGCTGCCGCGGGATACTTCCAACCTCCTCTGAACACGGAGGAATTCCTTCTCGGCAAGTGTCTCGTGTGAATCCCCTAGACCTCCCAGCCGCAGGACGCGCCCAAGGACCGGAGGAGCGCGCCGCT